ACGCCCCCGCGGAGCGCGCGGGGGCCAAACCAAAGCTGTCCCCAGCAGGGGACACCCACGAGCACCTCAGCAGCGCCCGCTGCCCCTCCCCCCGCCCTCCTCTCGGGCATTTTTGGGGGGGATTCCCCCCCTTCTCCCCCTCCCCCTCCCCATGGGTGCCCCCCACTCCCCCCCGCCCCTCCCCCGGCGCCCGAACCAACCCAAAAACAGGGGGGGCTTTGACCCCAAGCAGGGTTCTGAACCCCAAAGTGGGGCTTTTCTAACCCAAAAACGGGGGCTCGAACCCCAAAAAGGGTTCGAACCCCAGCCTGACCCTCTTGGCTTGCCTGGGTTGGGTTTTTTTTCCCCCCTTTTCTGTTTCTTTTTTTTGCCATTTTCTTTCTCCTCTTTTACATTTTTCCCTTTTTTTCCCCCCCTTTTCCTTTTTTTTTCCCTTTTTCCCCCCTTTCCATTTTTCCCTTTTTTTCCATTTCTTTCCCCCCTTTTCCCTTTTTCTCCCTTTTCCCTTTTTTCCCCCTTTTCCATTTTTTCCCCTTTTTTCCGTTTCTTTGTCGTTTCCATTCTTTCCCGTTTTTTCCCCATTTTCATTTTTCTCTTTCCCATTTTTCCCCCTTTTGCAATTTCTTTTTCCCTTTTTCCATTTCTTTTTCCCTCTTTTCCATTCTTCCTCCTTTTTTCTTTTCCATTTTCTTCCCCCTCCTTCTTTCCTCCTTGTCCAATTTTTCCCCTTTATAATTTTTTCCCATTTTCCACTTTACTCTTTTTCCCTCCCCTTTTTTCTCCCCTTCTCCATTTTATTTCCCTTTTTTCCATTCTTTTTCTCCCTTTTTTTCCCCCCTTTTCCATTTCTTCTCCAATTTTCCCCCCTCCCCGTTTTTTCCCCCCCATTTTTTCGGTGTCAGACCCGAAACTGTAGGAATTTTCTAAGACCTCCAGGTGGCTTTATCCCTGTAAATATCTATTTTTTAAACCCGACAGATGAAGAACAAACGAGGATGTGCAATACCCCCCCCAATTTTTCCCCCAAATCCCGAGGAATTCATGGATTCGCTGTTGTATTTTTCCTTTTTTTTTTCCCCTTTTTTTTTTTTTTTTTTTTTTTTT